AAGTTTCCTTGCGTGCTTGCATGCCCTTTGCGAAACAATGGAAACAAGTTTAAAGAAGACAATTTGGCTGCGTGCTGTATGTGCGTGTATTCGAAGAAAGAAAAAAAAGAAAAGGTGTGTGCATTTGGGTTGGCCGACCGCCTGCCGGTGTACGTCTCCGTATGGGGCGTAAGACAACACCGATCCGTTACGGCATGTCGGCAGCGAGTGAGATTGGTCCGGGGGACAACCTCCGGGGAAGGAGGTCAGGTTTATATTGGGTTGAATGCTGTCGTCATCTTTGCAAATGTGGGAAAAGTCGAGACCCTGCTTTTCCTTTCCTGCTGCTTATTTTTTTTTTTTTTTTTTGGTGGTGTACCAAGGGACCAACTCAAAGCCAGCCCTGCTGGAGCCTGGGAGAGCAAAGACTGGAGGAGAGGTGCCTAATGACATCAGAGGAACGAGAGGTATGAATGCTGGCCCTTGTTAGGTCCCTGATTCCGGCATTCCCCCCTTTATCCATCTGTCAAAACGGTATGAACCGGCCGGCATCGAAAAGACTGTTCATCTCGCCGAGTAAAGGAATACGCTGGCGGCTAAAGCATGGTACGCCGAGAGCAGAGCCATGGCCTTCGGCAGAGCAATACGCGTGCGGAATGTGATTTTGGCTTCAGGGCCGCATTCTCATGTTGAGGAAACGATTCGTGCAAAGGGGTCATGTTGTTGGTATGCACTGATTCTGGTCTCGGAAGAGAATCGTCAGACGGCCACCTTGAGTATGTGGTTAATGGAGGAACCTCATGGCCTTTAGCGCTAGTTTCGCACCGGCCGGGAGCTTAGACAACATCGGCCGCAACGCCGGCTCGTGAGCTTGCCCTGGTGGTGAATGCTTCTCTAGATCACGGAACAGAAGCGTCGTTTGGAATAGTTTGACGAATCAGCGTGTTGACAGGTCCAAATGAACGGGATGATCTTCGATACACATGAACGAGTTCAGGGTCCAGAGGATGAAGGGTCCTTGGACCGTGTGTGCTCGTGTTCCCACCATTTCATCCTTTTCTGGTACACCTGCTGGCTGCATGAGGTAGGGACAGAGTTGGAGGGTCCTTTTCGTACATTCTCCCGCCTCGCGCTGCACCGCGCCGTTTTCTTCTTCTCTGCGGCTCGGATTAGCATCACCAAACGGATTACACACAGGTTGACCCCTGGAGGTTCCCGGCAGGATGGGTCCAATTCGAGATCCATCACAGCGAAGCCAGGGCACAATATGCCAAAAGTTGTACGCATGTCACCCTCAGAGTTCCTGGGAAGCTTCTGAGTCCCGGGTGGGATGGTGCTGCTTGTCATGATCTTACTCCATCATGACGGATCCGAAAGGTAATTGTTGACTCGAAGGTGTCCACTCTGCAACCACACAAGCAAACCAATGTCGCCGCTATGCATCGTTGTACCTGAGCTGGCCGAGAATGGTAGCCGAATATTGTAAATCCACGTGTCGCGTCTGGTGGGTGCACGCTGTGGGCGATGAATTGCGAATGTGGTTCCGTTATCTCAATCGCCAGGACAGTCTGGAGATCGAGCGCATGACTTGGTACAAGCATGTCAAAACCGGTTCTTGTCGAGCATCCCAGATTGTCATTGACAATTCCATCCCAATGGTGGTGAATCGAGATCTGGTACCACAATCAACTCGAAAAGGGCTTAGACTCATTCATTGTTTTTCAGCGTCGTTTGTATCGAGAATATAGAGAGGAAAAGTTATGCAGAGAGGTGTTACCCGTTCCCGTGCCGCAAAAGGGCTTGATGGGATCCATACCGTATTCTCTCCCTCGGAGCCCAATCAATGCGGCCGGACGTTTGTCCAGCTACAGCAGGTAATGCGCTGAATTGGGCATGTTCAGGCCAGTCTAGAACATGCGGCTACTGTAGTCGGGGAAGCCCCGTGACGGGAATTTTGGGCTACCGCAGTTGCTTTGCGGCGGTCACACGGATTCTATACCGCTGGGGAGGATAAGGAGGGGCGTGTTATGTGCGCTGGGTGAGCTGTGTGACGGACCGTTTTCTCGATTCTCGATCTTCGCCTGCGAAGTCGATGTTGGGTGAGGGAGGAGACTGGGAGGGACTGGGACCATGGATCGAATAGCGTTATTGCCGGGGTAGTCTCCTGCTCCCTGCAAGACGGTGCGAAAGGTACGGCAAACGTGTTAGTGCTTAGGGAAGTCGTCGACGTTTCGGGGCGCTAGAAACTCGGACAGTGAGCGGCTAGTATTCCATTGCACGCTAAGCTGACAGGATGGACTCGATGGGGAGAGCAGGGGCGGCTGTACTTGTGGTCTCTGGAGTTTGGATTAGCGGGACGGATCACAGACACACCCCTCCCCAGTCCGCCAACGCGACACGACACAGGAAGGTTTCCATACCCCAGCACCATCTCGATGCGATCTCAAAATGACGTCAGAGGTTGGGGGTGCTTTTCGTGGTGGTTTTCACACCTAGCCCCTCTGATGCGCCTGGCACCTGGGTGCCGTACGGAGTAGTGCAGTGGAAGGAAGAGCTTTCGGATGGATGCGTTCGCCGCGATGTAGCCTGGGCTCCTCTATATGCATCTCGATATCAGATACGAATACATAGCTTATCGGAACAGGCCGCTAAGGAATCCACTGTCGAGGTTGGTCAAGGGAGGATGATGCTAGAGGTATGCGGGATGAATGATTATACCAGATTGCACATGTGCGCGCATGCACAAGCGACGGAGGTATCGCGTTGCGGATGGCAAATCTGATCTGGCATGGGAATTGGATGCGCACCTGAGGATTATGCTCCTGCGACAGAGTTCGAGCCTCCGTGAGAAGGAGGTATGGTGTCTTGAATCCATGATGCTGGTAATTCGACACTTGCATCGACCGGTGGTGCAAGGTGCTTGGTCGTGCTTGGTGCAAGGGCATGATTGATGGGGAACGGGGGAGGAGAATACTGTAACTGAGGTAGGGGTGCCAGTAGAAAAATGGAAGAGAAGTTGGGGGCTACCCTAATTGGAACCGTTTGAGGTTGACCGTATCTTGAGGCTGGGGTTTCTCGATGTTCGATGGTAAAATTTCCCGTGGTGTTTGGATGAAGGGAGGAGCAAAACGGCAATTGAGCGATTTGGACGGGAAACGGCAGAAGTGCCTTTGAGAAAAACATGGCATTTTGGCAAGACAGGTGGGCAATCTCCCGTTGGCGTGCCTTCTGACTGCTCATGGGTGTCCTATGCTCCCGCAAGGGGCGCGGGAAGGTGAGGGTGAAGATTGGACCGTCAGGGAAGGAACCACGAACTAGTAGCTGCCAGTTGTGTTATCGCAGTCGCAGTGGCAACTTCAAGGCAGGCACGGCGGGCAGGCCAAGACCATCATCGTCGATCTGTTATTGCTGGACGTTCCCAGATCTTTCACGATTGCGCATCCGTACCTCAAGGTGGTAAGGTACACTAGAACTTCATGCTGATACTTCACCGTTGCCTTCCCTGCCGCGGGTTCACCGACCAATTGTCCAACGAACGTTTTGATTTGCTGTCTCGCAACTGCCCTGCCGCTAGGATAAAACAAGCCAGACCATGCCGTCCGGTCTTGGGATTGAGAAGTTATGTGACCTGCGACCGGCTGGAGCGGTGCCTTGTCTAAATTCATCATTATCAAAAAACGGAGCTACGTAGAAACGTCTTCTCCTGTCCATCTTGTCTGAGTTGCGCGTTGAACAAGATCTTGTTCTCCACGGCACGGTACTATGGAAGGAGGGATTCCCAAGCTCGGCCCGTGGTGAGCTGAAAGTGAAATTGGCGGTGCCGCTGATGCTCAGGCCATTCCATGAAGCTCCTTTTGTGACAGGTCAACCTCTGGTTGTCTCTCGGTCATTTTTCAGATATCTCGCAGCAATACTCCCGTCGTCTCATGTTATTACCAGCCGCTCCCAAAACAGCAATCCACAAAGACCGAGGCTCGCGGTAAGAGACAACATACGCAACATCACACAGTCATAAGTTCAGCCTCATCTTGACTTGTTTCTCCTCGAACCTACGAGATCGAATCGGAAAGTAAGTCTCTCTGCTTCTGGTGTATGAACTCACGAGTCATCCCGGACATTATGCTCCTCTCCGTGGTTGTTGTCGCCGTTGCCGTCGTCTCATCTCAGTCTCGGTCAACTCCTTTTTACTTGGTCACCTGTGACTTGTTGGTTAGTCTGGTAATTGTGCATATTTCAGTACCTTACCTTAGTACCTGGCATAGTTGCCGTCCCCATCTAACCTGTCCTTCTGTCCAGTTAGACCTTCTGTAGTCTGTACACATACTTATGTAGCCTGCTTATTACCTGACCTTGCCCGGGCCTTCCCATCCACTGTGCCCGTCTTGTACATGGAAGGCACCGTAAACGCCTGCAAGTTCTCAGTTCAACAGAGAAACACCCCTTCCCGCCAGTAACATTCATCCGTAACCCGCCTGCCTTGATATATTATTGGACAGGAAAATAGCGCCGGGGGTAGAGCAAGGTACAGACATCCCTGTCTTGTCTTCACTCCGACGCTTACCGTGCAAGCTCTTCCGTCTTTGACGCTGGGTTCAATGTTACTTCCAGAGCCAGCCATTGTCTCTCCGTCTTCTGGCCGAATTGTGCACACCCCTCTCCCCTATGTCTTTCCTACGCCAGGTAGCTATCCTATCCCACTCACTCAGTCGCGCCTTGTAGGAAGTATTGAAAAGTACTTTCCCCCTTCAAGTGTTGCTCTTGTGTATTGCTTGACTCTTCCCTTCCTCGCATTTCTCGCCCGAATCGATTCTGAGTATATATCTGTCTCTTACCCCCAAAGCTCACATTCACGTCCAAAGGTTTCTTAAGGAGAGCCACTCCCCGAAAGTCTCATACGCGTCCTTGCCTCCATCTATCAACAGGTGTTGTTGTGCATCCACCCTCCAGCGGCATCCTCAGCTTCACCGTAGCAGCGAACGAGAGACGAGAACGACGACCTGATCGACACTTGTGCGGATTTGCTACCTGCATTCCCCACGTGCGCCCGCCACTCGTGCGCCCATCACCGCGGCCACCATTCGGTTTGAGCTTTCGCGCCCGGACTTGATCCCGAAGAGACTCAGAGAAAAATAAAAAATAAAAATAAAAAAGAGAGAGAAAGCGAACCGCTTTGGATAGACAAAAAGAAGAGGGAAATACTGCAAAAGATAGAAAAAGAGCATCGCCGAGATCTTCATCTCTGTAAGTGAGCAAGCCTCCCAATAGCCTGCATGTCATTGCCCGGGGAATATTTTGAACATCCCCTACTGTTCCTCATCATCATACTTCCCCCTTGCACCGAAAGTTCCCCCGTTCTTGTACTATAATGCTACCGCCTGCGCCGTCTACGGCATGGTGAATTATGGAATTGGACGCCCTTTGCACCCAAAATCGACAGCACCGGAAGGGCAAAAAACGGAATATGCATAGGCAAAAACGGCGAATGACGAAGGAGGATGGGGAGAAAAACCAGATTCTTGTCCCGCTATTGCTGTCCCCCCCTAGCTGCATTCGCTACCATTTACAGTACTCTGTGCTGCGTACTGCTTGCTTCCCTGCAAGAAAAGAAGTCTCGCTAATGCTGTTGCCACATTGTTCAGGTTGCTCCGGATCCCATACCACGTAAAGTATCCCAGAAAAGGCCCAAAGGCAGAAGCAAAAGGAGAAGGAGACGCAGAAGCAGCAGGTACCTGAAGGCAGTCCAGCCATACGTACGAAGTACCCCCAACGACAGCGGAGGACAAAACGGAGAAAGAGACGTGCGCTCACTCGCTGCCCACGCTTCCACCTACCCCGCTGCCCTTTTTGCAACTCCCACGCCCTCACGCCCACACATCCCACGCCCACCGTCCCACGTCCCACGTCCCACGTCCCATACGGCCACAGTCCACCGTCCACCGTCTACGACCAGCCAGCGAGCGACCTTCTCTTCCCAGCCCAAGAATCCACGTCCCAGAACCAGGCCTAAGACCAGGACCGCCCCGCCGAACAGCCACCCCTCCAGCGCGCAACAAATCCTTGAGCTCGCTCCCCCGCCGTCGCTGCATCTCTTTCAAATCCAGCCGACTCCCGCTCTCTTGTTGCCTTTCCATACACGCGCCAGACCAGACGGAAAGCTACCCATCGCACACCTCACATACCGCAAAACCTCTCCTTCGAATTCCCTCACCTCGTTCAAATTCGAGCTGATCATCGAGCCTGTCTCTCGCTCATCACAGCAGAACCGTCAGCAGAAGCATAACTTGACCCGTCGATCTCCCGGCTGTCGTCTTTTTACTCCACCACCCCTCATCATTCTTTAATCCTCCCCGCCGTACGACGACCAATTTCCATCCTTCCCCTCGATCGGTCTCCCTCTCTCTCTCTTCCTCCCCCTCCAGCCGCTCAATCCGAAAATTCAATCCTCTTCGATCAGGTAGATCGACCATCACACGAAAATGGCCGAATTCGTTAGAGCACAAATTTTCGGTACTACCTTTGAGATCACCTCGAGGTACTCGGACTTGCAACCCGTTGGTATGGGAGCCTTCGGTCTCGTTTGGTTAGTCTGAGAAAATACCATCCATCGCAACGAGCGCTCGTTGCGACCATCTATCCGTGCTGGCTGACACGTCTTCTTCGCTCGCAGCTCCGCCCGTGACCAACTTACCAACCAGAATGTTGCCGTCAAGAAGATTATGAAGCCCTTCAGCACTCCCGTTCTCGCCAAGCGAACATACCGTGAGCTGAAGCTGCTCAAGCACTTGAGACATGAGAACGTACGTTTGGTCCCGCCTTTGACTGCCTCTCTTCATAATCAGTCTAGTCGACGTGCGCTGATATCCACCTAGGTCATCTCTCTCAGTGATATCTTCATTTCCCCTCTTGAGGACATCTACTTCGTCACAGAGCTTCTCGGCACCGACTTGCACAGACTGCTCACCTCCAGACCTCTCGAAAAGCAGTTCATTCAGTATTTCCTTTACCAGATCATGGTAAGCCCCGCCCCCTCACCGGAATCCTCTCCGACACCTGAATTGACATGGTTTACAGCGCGGCCTGAAATACGTCCACTCTGCTGGTGTAGTCCACCGTGATTTGAAGCCCAGCAACATTCTCGTCAACGAGAACTGCGACTTGAAGATTTGCGACTTCGGTCTCGCCCGCATTCAGGACCCCCAGATGACTGGTTACGTCTCGACGAGATATTACCGCGCTCCCGAGATCATGCTCACATGGCAAAAGTACGACGTTGAGGTCGACATCTGGAGTGCGGGATGCATTTTCGCCGAGATGTTGGAGGGCAAGCCTCTGTTCCCCGGCAAGGACCACGTCAACCAGTTCTCCATTATCACCGAGCTTCTCGGTACTCCTCCCGACGATGTCATCAACGGCATTGCCAGTGAAAACGTGAGTTGATGCAGAGCCGAAGCGATGATTAGTTTGCCTACTGACACGGACCTAGACCCTCCGATTCGTCAAGTCCCTGCCCAAGCGCGAAAGGCAACCCTTGAAGAACAGGTTCAAGAACGCCGACCCCTCCGCCATTGACCTCTTGGAGAGAATGCTGGTCTTTGATCCCAAGAAGCGGATAACGGCGACTGAGGCGCTCTCGCACGACTACCTTGCTCCCTATCACGACCCCTCTGACGAGCCCGTCGCCGAGGAGAAGTTCGACTGGAGTTTCAACGATGCTGATTTGCCCGTAGACACGTGGAAGATCATGATGTAAGCCACTATCATTTAAAGTTTTCATGAAGGACTTGCTAACGAAGTACTCTTTGCAGGTACTCCGAGATACTCGACTACCACAACGTGGATGCGTCTGCGCAACAGATGGAAGAGCAGTTTAACGCACAATAGATGAGGGAGTTCAGGGGCGGAGCGAGGATAAATAGGAGAAGGGGGGGCTATGATACCACGCAAAACCAGAACGGCATGTGTTTCCAGTACATTCGCACGCAATCATGGTGTTCGGAAGAGGGGATCGGTTATTGTAACGTTGACAATGCAAAGGGCCAACAGTATACGCGATATAAAGGAATGGCATGCATCTTGGAGGTGTTTTTCTCTTTTTCATCATCTTGTTCCAACAAATGTTTCCTTTTCCTGGATCTCCAGGTTCTGTTAGAATAAAGTCCGCGGCATAGGGCATAGCGACAAGCTGACAATGGGCTCCGAGGCCCCGATTACGAGGACTTGCTTTACCAACCAGGATGACGGCGGCTCTCCGGGATACTTGAATATGGGATGCCCTTTGCAAATTGGAGGTATGGATGAATTCGGGCGTGATAGCAGAAAATGACTTGGCAGATCGCAACTGAAGAGAACGAAAAGAAAAAAAAAAAAGAGACCCTTCAGGGATAGCCAAGGCTTGTGATCTACCTCTACCTAACGACAACCAAAGCGACCCAAACGAATGATGATCCCAAGAGGGTACCTATTCGGAGATGATTGTGGCTTGAGGTGTGGTTGAGTACTAGGTACGTACAGACCACTGCCACGGGACGTGTGGCTTACTGTGTGGCTTACTGTGTGGCCTCAGCCACATGATACGAGAGTGTGGCTGCCATTTTGCCACAATTCGTTGCAGTTAGGATGGTCATACGGAGCGGAACTCTATCTAGATAAGTTTCACTGTGACATTTACGTTGACTGCAAGGAAAATCATTTCATGATAGTCAGAAGGAGAAATAGGTGAGTGACACCTAAGGTGAGATTCAAGGGGCGGGCGGGCGGCACACTCCGCGCGGTGAGAAGGTGATGGGGGATGGTGATTTGACAGGAGAGAGGAGGAGGAGAAATCCCATCTTATGCAATGCAGGACACGCTGGCGGTGCTTGAGGTTAAGGTGAGATGAGGTTTGGGGTTTCCGGTAAGGGAGGGAAGGGTTGACGTGGTGTTTTTGCCTCTCCGACTTTTTGGTCGCTTTCGCCGAGGTAGTCAGTCATGTACTGGGAGGGTTCATCGGTAGGAGACTAGGAGTTGACTCCGGGTTGTTTTCAGCTGAGTACCTACGCCTTATGGGTGGCTTTTGCGATGTTGCTGGGGCAAAAAAAGGTTTATTGATTTGCAGGCTCAAAGTTTGGCTTCTTTGGCACGTTGTTCACACCACCTTTCTCTCACCGTTTATCTGTCGTGGTCGAAGAGTTGAGGTAATACCGGTACACCACACACACAGTTCAAAGTGAGGTCGTCTTGAGAAGGGGTAGCACGGGAACCGAAGTAGCGGAAAGAAACAAAGTTGCGAGTCGTGAAATCGTGATCGATTGATTGATGGGACGTGCCACGGAGACGTGGCCGGTGCTTTTTCCCTTCGGTGCATGGTTGACGTGTCTGTGGTGGACCACACGACCGGACCACAGACTTCGATGTCCGGCGCTTGGCGCTAGGCTGGTTAGGGGATGCGGGAGGTTTTGAGATGGATGCGGAAAGTCTGGTAGATAACGAGTGTCTACACTGTCTGCTTGGCTACTTTGTTCTTGGTGAGAAACAGTTTGATGTTGTCGTCGTGGTTTATCTGTTGCGACAAGCAAGGACTGACGATGATATCCACTCAGAGCGAGGGGTGTTGGATGTCTCCGCGATGTTAAGACTTGTGAGTTTCCCAGCCAGACTTTGTGGCTGTAGCAGAATGTCAAAGAACGATTCAAGATGGCAATCAAGTTTCAATCAGTATATACTTGTCACGATGCTGAGTACATATATCTGCGTGTGCGTGACAGCGTGCATTTCCAAAAGAGTAACGTATCTTGCTACGCACACTTGGAGTGGCATTTCTCGAACCGGGGCCACGCGGGGTTACCGTAGTCGCCTTTTTTCCCCTTGAGCCCGTGTTCTGGCTATTTTTCTTTTCCCCTCCTCCCCCCCATTGTTCTCGAACATCGCTGGAACCTCCAACCCCTGAACCTGTCGTGCTTTCTTTCAATGTGGGACGAGTCGTTCGTTTTTAATTGCAACCCATCCCCGACAATTGACTTGTCTGGACCTCTGGTACACACTTGGCTCTATTTTAAGGGGTCCCGTGTCCGCATAAGAGCGTTCTCATAAAACGCGAGCAGAAAATAAAATCAGAGAAGCCAGATGAGCAAATGAGAATCGAGGGCCAGGACGGCAAGGAAATTACAATGAGAGTGGAAAGACTGGACTGGAAGTAATAATAAAGTATTTTACTATACTTTTTGCCGTAGTGCATTAGCACTAATTCCAACAACTCATC